TTTGATTACATTTTTTATGATGGATTATGCAGAAAAAGTAGAATTGGGCTGAAAGATCTATCGCTTTATCACCTATTCAGGTTGTAAATCGTGTTTTAAAAAAGTAACTAAGTAACTAAGTAATTAGTTACCTTTGAAAATAAGTAATCAGTAAAGTAACGGGATTACTTTTTTGGGGAAGTAATCAGTAATTAGTTACCGATTACTTTTTCAAGTAACTTGACCGACACTGCTCCCCACTATCACTTAACTATAGGAACTTCTTTCTCTAAAACTGCTGAGATGTTTATCTCAAGAATGATTGGCCTCATAAGATATTTAACCAGCACCAGGTTGGATATATCCCTCCCGTCAAACAGAAGATAACAGCGTAACCACTGACCTAATAACTCTTAAGTCATGTTGTTTGCCTCTCAGCCAGCCTCGACCTTTCCACAGTGTTCTCTTAGTTAGACTGTACATTATTAATGCTGCTTGGCCTCTATGTATGGCTGCCTGTGTATTGAAGTAAGAAGTGGGGCCCTCCCTTTAGCGGGTTGATTTTAATATGTATTAATACAGTGGTGAGAATGTTTCTCATTATTGCCCTTATCATCATTCTCTATCAAGCCGCCTCCTTCTACAGGCTGGCCCACATTAGGCCGTGATCTTTGAGAGAGACAGCGAGTCTAATTCTCATTTTTAAAAGAAGGTTATTTCACAAAGACAACCCCCAGGGCTCTGTGAGAAATCAAAACCGAAAATGAGCGAAGAACTCCTTCTTTCTTCGCTCTTTTATCTTCCTTAGCCCCTTATTCTTAATTCCATTTCCTTCCCCTTTCTGTTTTTCTTCCCCCCCCTTCTCTTCCTGTCCTCATATCTCTGCCACCCTCCATCCCTGCCGGAGGCGTCACTGTAAATGCCAATGTGGAGAATGAAGGAGGGTGGTTATTGTTTGTGCCTGGGGAGGGTTCCTTTTGTTACTCGGGCAGGCATAGAGTGATGGGGGAGACAGGCGGCGCGTGCGCACACACGCAGACACATAGAAAAACGGATATTTTGGTCACTGCAGTGTTGGCTGTGACAAGCCTGACAACTACTTGTGTTCCAAACTCTGATGCCGGGTCAAGCTGGAGGCTCCTTCTCCGCTCTGCGTCAGACTGCTTTGATAATACCACATCTAGAAAGGGCAGCTCTCAAGCACAGCGCTTCAAAACTACACTTAATGTAGGTTCCTTTCCACTGTGCAGCAGCAGTAATACCAGGAGTTGTTTGGCTGCCCTTTTCAACTGGCCCACCAGGTACAGGAGCAAAATCTTTCATTCTCCTGGCCGGGAGTGCTCTTTAATAAACCACCCCCACATCTACAGGTGCTTTTTTGTGCATTTCTGTAAATATCATGTGCAAATTTTAAAAGTTCAGCAATAAAGTTAAATCTCCAAAAGCTCCAAATTAAAATCGTTTAATGACCTGGCACAAAAAAGTGTGTTTTACCCTCCCCGCGTGTTCAGATTTGCAGAAAAAAAATCACATGTGCTTGGAACTACAGAGTACGTCTGTCTCTGGGAGTTTGAGAGAGAGCAAGAGATCTGAGATGTCACAAAGGGAGGGAAATGAGGCTGGGGAGGCAGATGATGTAAGCACAGAGACATACCACACTCACCTGCCCTCGGTAAAAATCACACAGGAGAGATGGGAGATGGAAGAATAATGAAAAGGCTCTGCCAGAGCAGGTTCCCTTCTCACTGTCTTGATAGAAGCCGCCCACTGTCGAGCCCCTAAGCCAATTGTACCACTGCAGTTTAAAGATAAGGAGTAATGAACCTTGCTGGTGATGTACTGAAGTCACAATTTCCAGACAGTCATTTTAGGATAGAACAGTATTGTGCTCCAGAACGTGAATTACACCACTGCTATGAATCCAAAGAGCTTTTTCACCTGCAGCGATAAGCTCCCAGTACAGGCTTAGTGGCGGTTTAGTCATTAACTATATGTGCACTTAATTCTTCTTCACCAATAAAACATGCATACTGAAAGTCTGCACAAAAATGACAACATGAGACCTGAAAATAGGGAGCTCAATATCGTGTTTCAAAGTGAAACAATTACATGTCCCTGTCTTCTTTTGAGATTATGTTCTTTATTATTATTTTTTGTCATTTTGCCTAAATGTAAATGCACAATCATAGTCATAGTGCAAACGTCAGCTTTAATTCAATGAGTTTTACAGAAATTTTCCATGAGCTGCTTAGAAATTACAGCCATTTTCATGCATGGCCCTCCATTTTTAGAGGCTCAAAATTAAAAATATGAATATGAAGTCGAGGACTGACTGGCATCACCAGTTCCTTTAGTCCTCTCCCTTGAGATGCTCTGGCAGGTCTTTACTGTAGCCAACCTCTGTGAGCATGCTCTGTTAAGTTGAGATCAGGTGGCCGAGTCTTCCCATCTTCCTGTCACATAAGTTCATCTTTGTGTAATCTGTCCCAGTAAATGACCAGGTGCAGCGAGTTCAGAGCTTCAACTCCAGAACTTTTATCAAAATAATCAAAGAGGCCTCACCTGGCTGTGAAACTGCATGTCACTCAAGTGTCGAGTTATTTTTGAGCTTGTGTATGGAAATTGACTTTTGGAAAATGGCAGTGAATGCAAAACCTAAAAAAAAGAAAAAAAAAGCAAAACTGTAAAACTTGTAATCTGTACAGATACCTTTGTGGATTTTGTGAGTTGCTAAACAAGGCATATACAGAAGCCATATTGTGTACGGTGGCCCTGAGGGGTCAAACACACTGCAACTTCAGAAAACACCAGCAAATAGAAAAATGCTGCAAAAGCACACAAAACATAATCGAGTTTGAATAAAATGCAACAGAAGTAGACGCTGATGTTTTCTTAACTTGCAGTGAGTTTGACCTTTGAGGGCCACCGTATGAACATGCTGCAGTCCATGCGCTCAAGTTACTGACATGCAACATTGGACCTCTGAGGCGAATGGAACGCGTCATTTTGTGCTAGCTTGCTGATTGAGAGTTGGTAAAGTAACACGCCGTTTAGTGATGAAGAAAAAAAAAACTACTGGGAAGTAAAATGCTGCTGTAAACAGGTGGATATTTAAAGATTTAAATAGTGCTAATGTTGAATGAGCAAGAAAGCTCTTTCATCATTTGTTAGACTGCAATGATCCATGCGGTTCATTTTTAGTGAGGAACACTGAAGGTAAACATCGCTCTACAGGGTGCCTTTGAAGTACTGAGCTGGAGTTGGGCGGTGATTAGCTTAGCTATACACACTTCAAATTAGGTGTTTGTCACTCTTTATAGCAGGAGGAAGAGTTAAAAAAAAGAGTCTGCGTACTAGCACCTGTAAAGCTCACTAAATTACTAAATCTCAATTGTTAAGTCCCCAAACTCTCTGCTCTTGTCCTTTTGATTGTACAAGTGAAGGGTTCACTACATTATCTAATATTAGTTAAGCGATAAGTGGGCTAACGGCTTACTAACCACACCTCCTGCAAGTGCAACCTCTGTTTTCAGCCCAGAGAGAGAAACCTCATCACACCTACAAATATGAGTTCCATCTGGTTATTTCAGAATGACTACTTTAGTGATCAAATTAAATAAAAAATTAAAATAATGGCTTCCGTTAATGTAAACTGAGAAAAAAAAAGTAAGATAATTTTTGTTTGCTTTATTATCTCTTTGCTGCAACAATGTATTTTTTTTTTTTTTAGCAATAAATCTTAAACCACTGGAAAATCTGTCTATCTACCCTTAAACTGTAACACATTTGTAAGGAAAATGTATTTCTGGGTTGAGCAGCAGAGTTGAGTATCTGAGCTGCACCAATGAAAAACTCATCAAATCTTCTCTGCCAGTGCCAAACAGCTTATTCCACTAGTGACTCTTGGTTTGAGCTTCTGGTGCCCCAGGTCCTGACACTCAGGTGCCTGATCACATGCCTGAGAACATGAGGCCTGCTACAGCGGTCAGTTGGTGTCTGCTCCAAGCATGTCACGTTTGACTGATCTGAATAGGGCTCATGCCACAGGGAAACTTCAAGCTGGTGTTCAGTTTGCAGTGTTATTTGAAAGAAGCCCTGGTACCATCTCCACATTGAAGAGCAAATCCCTATAATGGGGGAGCAGAGACAGGCCACAAATTGGACGTCCCAAGAACCAACACCTCATCCTGTCAGCACTAAGGAAACGATTTGCATTCAAGGTTTGTAGGATGACATGGCTGATCGCTCTCTACCCACCCAGACTGCACACAGCCAATCTCTGGTATCACAAGGCTGACAGTCAAGCCCGTTTACACTGGTGTCACCAACATGTGCACTGGAACCTGAACCTGTGGAGGAACTTTATGTTCAGTGATGAGTTCAGATTCATGGTGTCAAAATGTGGAGAAGACTGAGAGAAGGCTATGCAGATTGCAGCACTGATAGAATAACAGATCTCAGTGGAGGCAGTGTAACAGTGTGTGGCGCCATCTCCCTCACTGGAAAAATAGGGCTCGTCTTTACTAGAGGCAATCTCAATGCAGATACATATCAAGATGAGATTCTGCAACCAGTGGCCATGCCATATCTCAACTCTGTCCTCTAAAATGAGAAAAACCTGTCTCAACAGGGTGGGGTTTATCAGAGACTACCGCCATAATTTGGGAGTGGAGAGGATGGAATGGAGCCACCTCAACCCCACTGAACACTTGTGGGATCAGCGTGGACATGCTGTTTGTGCCAGAGGGATTAACACAACCACAATGGGTGATGTGACAAATGTGCGTTGAAGAATGGGACAGCAGTGTGTGACCAAGTAAAATCAATACCCAGATACTCCACTCTGTAGCTCAACCCACAAATGCATTTTGCTTACATTTTTTTTACCATTTAGGGGGAAATAAACAGGCTTTCCAATGGTACAAGATTTATTGCCAAGAAGCATTGTTACAACAACGAGGTAATCGACCAAAAACACAAACGTCCTTACTTCTTGTGCTAAGTTTACATATATGGCAGTTTCTTGTATTTGAAGGCAGACTCTATAAAATGTCATCTTGCTGCAGTCATTGTAAGTAACTATAAAAACAATATACTGGAATACATGTTGTCAAACATATAACACAACCGTGTCAGTAAGAAGTCATTAGCTGATCACTGTTTCAAGGTGAGACCCATCCCTTCCTGTCACATCCAGTATGTTGCATACGGAGTAGCAATGTCGGAGACGCTCACCTCGAGGCTTCAAAACAGGACTTCAGAAACCAGCCGGAGACATCATCACAGCCATCTTTTATGCTGTCTGTGATTGTAGCTATTTATGTACTTTATTATTGTATTCTTTTTTTATTGGCATTATAAAAGCTAATGACAGAAGACAAAAAGGAAGAAACAACTGAATGCAGAACAGAAGACACATTTTTGATTGTAATACATCCACGTTATAACAGTGTAAATCGGCATGGATGCTGATTTTAAGTTCTCTTCTGGTTCTGTAGAAGAGCAAGGATTTTCCAAAGCTTGCCAATGTATCCGTGCCGTACCCCTCAACTAAGAGACCCTCCACAACAGCACACCGAGTTGAAGGGGCTAGACTGGAAACGAGCACAGCTGTTTCCCCTCACAGCTCGGAGCCACTTTAAGTCCCTACACTTTGCAAACTTTAACTTGATTTTGTCTTGTTATTAGCCCTTACCTGCCATAATAATGGTTAAAAACACATTCCCTTTCAATAACCTGGTCTGTAACCAGGATTTGTGTTCAGAGTGTGCGTTCTGCAGACCAGCTCGGGTGCTGTCGCTCAAGTGCTTTCCTCAGATGTGACAGAGCTCCTCCTGCTTTCACAGCTTGAATACTTTTAACAGTACCAGTAAATTCACCTTGTATAAAAGAAAGAAAGAAATGCCTGAAAAGCAGTGAAGTAGTGGAGTACAGTCACTTACAATCACCGAATGTGACATAACCGTCCATGTGTTGTAAAACGACCAGCATTTGTAAAAGAACTGATTTCGAATTTCTCTTGTAACCCCGTCATTGCACAGCATTAAAACGTCTGCCTTGTATTGCATTGATGTCTGTTATCAGTGCACTCACCTGCTTCACGCACAGCAAAGCCTCTGAGAGAAAATTGTATCGCCTAACTATGTGGAAAATTTCCTGTGTTGTTTGAGAAAGTTAAAATTCCCTTGTGTATGTACAGGTAGCCCAGATTTTGCACTATTATTTAAGCTGCTGGCAGTTCAATCTCCAGCCATGTCAAATTATTTTTTGTTGTTTTGTTTTGCACAAAACAGCCCGAGAAGTGGGATACATCAGCAGCGCCGTATGCACAAACGCCGATTGTTCCCTGCACAAAGAAGGAGAATGTCTAGTTTTCTTCAATCTGTCAAAGTTGCTTTTAATGCTGCATATTTGTCAGCATATAAAACACAAAATTTCAAAATATGTTTTGACACACACTGTGCAGAAATACTTACTGTCAATAAAGTTTTCATTAGACAGGTTCATTTGGTCCATTCAACTGCTATCTGTCAAATTAAAATCGAGCAAAGTGAGCATCCCATCCCAACCGTGCTGTCAATCCAAAGTGCGATCTTTATCGAGGGCGTCGTAGATTTGTCAGTATCCATATCCATCCACGTTTTCTTAAGGGGAAATGTTCACCTTCAAGTGGTGTGTAGGTTTGTCAAAACTGATTTATTTTATTTTACATATGTTATGCAGTTTATTTAATAGTAATATATTTAAGTACAAGACAAAAACTTTTTACAAGCATCAGTTAGTCAGAGATCAACTAGTTTTCATTACTGTGATGTCTCCATGTTTTTTTACAAACTGGCCTCAGGCTCTAGGTCAAAACTAAATATAAATACCTCTGTATGATTTGTCAGCCAGTCTTAACTACATATCAGATGGCAGGACACTGTTCAAGTACCTAAATAGTGGCTCCATAGTGTTTACGCATTCACCTAACAAATGAAAGATCCCTGATTTAATCCAAGGAGGAGACACAAATCCTTTGAGGGTTGCATCAGGAAGAGTATACAAATCTGCCAAATCACATCTCAGAGCAACCTGCTGTGAATAAGGAAGCAGCTGAAAGCAGCTTTTTAAACTTTCCTTTGGGATTAATAAGTATCTATGTAATTATTTTTTATCAATACGTGTCAGTTGGTATAACCCTCAATCATCTGTAATGTGTCAGGTTGCTTGCTTCTAGCTATAAAGATCGTTTAGCTTTGTTTATAGGTTCGAGATGCTGTATTTGTCTCTCAGATTTCTGCCTACACAGTGAGGGTAGCTGCAGGTTTATTGGTTGTTTTGTATTATAAAAATGGTCCCAGTTGAACATTTCAAAATAATAAAGTAAGTGATTTCTTCACAGACACTCTGTGATGCTGGCTCTTTGTGCAGGGGTTTGTCCATTTCCATACTTAACCATGAGATGCATTATCATTACATGTTGTACAGACATTCATGGTCCCCAGAGGTAGGATCCTGGTGATTTTGGTGAGTTAGAGTTCAAATTCAAATCAATGTCTTATCCATGAGCTTCACCTGCTCTTTATGCTAAGTTTTAATTAGTACATGTTTGGATGCTAACGAAAGAAACGCAGGTGGTGACCATAATGAATATTCTATTTGCTAGCCATTATTTAAGCAACAGACAGCATACAATATGTATCTGAAAGCCACCAGATGTGATAGCTGTGATTGCTATTACTGTGATTGTTAGGGTACGCCAGTTCTCCTCTAACATTACTGTGGGGTTCTGCAGGGTTCAGTCCTGGGTCCATTATTATTTTCTTTCTGCATTTTTTTTTTCACACATACAGACAATTAAACAAACATTCTGCAGACTATGTATTCCAGCTTGCCACTAAACACACTTGTGCTCACAGTCTTTGTTCACAAGCTCAGAATTTGTAGTTTTTCATCATATAAGGTTGAAGAAGAGGGGGAAACAGAGCCTTTAAGTCTGTGGCACCAAGATTTTGGAACATCTCCCACAACATCTAGCTGACTCTGTGGACTTTTAAAACATTTAAAAACTTCTTTAACCTGAGTTTGTATTAAATATTCTCTGATTTAATTTCATTTGTTTTGCAGTCAATGACACTTTAATTTTTTTTTTTATTATCATATTTTACTGTGATTCTTCGCAGTTTATATTTATTTTCAACTTCACTTAATTATCGTAGAGCTCTATTGCAATTGTTTTCTTCACTTCTATAAACGCTTTCCTGACAAGTTTGAGTCAGCAGTTTTGATCATATTGAATAAAACATTAAACTTTTTTTTTTCTTTTTTGTAAATATTGGTTATATTATGTTAAAAAAAAATGGAGGATTATCTGTGGTTTGCTTATTGACTAATGACTTGACCAAGCAGGTTCACAGTCAGACCCACCCCTCCTTATCCTGTTGGATTTTGCAAAACCAAGATGTCAACAACTCAGCTAATTCTAGTCTCTGAGCCTTATTACTCATTTATGTTTTAGGCTATTTTTAATGCAAATATGTAACAATAAAATGACTTGCTAGCACCTCTACTCAAGAGGAATGTCCTCCAGTCTTGGTGAGTGAAGTCCTGGTATTTTCTTAGTCTGATACTTAGAACTAATGAGCTAGTATCTATAGGCTAGCTGTGAGTGCGTCTTGCTAACCAAGCTTTTTAGCGTTAGCTGAAAACTTGGGACTCTACCCATTCTTGAAAATATGGTCACTTCTGGATCCCAAAAGACAGAAATGACCAGCTGCAAAGCAGAAGTCAAAGACAGGACTTCAGAAACACTAGGACGTCGTCACAGGGGCTTCATCCATCTTTTAAATGCAGTCTCTGAATACATATCTTAGTTCTTAGCATTTCTGTGTGCGCCCTACTTCTTCAAAGGTCAGACTGTTATTACTTTAGCAGCTGATGTGATGCAAGTTTAAGAATTTCCCCCAAACACCCGTTTTTCTGTTAAATAATTTATTTTGGATTTTAATCTCCTGCCTGTGTGGTTTGAGTCTGTGCTGGTGTTCTCCGGTCACAGTGTTTTCCCATAAGGCTGGAGGTAGGTTACCATGCATTTGCACTCTGTTGATAACAGTTGTTAAATCCATTACTTGCAATTTGAATATGAACTACAAACTGCTGTATGCTGTTCTATTCTTCCTGTGTGAATCCTGCAGAGATTTGATTTCACTAACTAAAGTTTTTAACGATCCAGGTTACAAATTTGAATTTATTTGCCTGATTAATTGTTTAATTCAAGTCAGTGATGGACCAGTTTATGTTTTTAGTTTAACATTACTATGTTATTCAGGCCTCGCAGGCGCCCAGCACACACAACTCATGGTTTTCAGTATTTCTGTATTTCATTCGGTTGAAACTAAAGAACCAGAGATCCCGTCTCATTATTTCAAAACAGAACATAACACAGACAACAGGTGTAACACACGCACACACGGGTTACAGTAGCACCACAAATAATGTCATTTCCCTCCACTATATAAGGAGGCAGAAATCTGAGAGATAAAATATCCTAAAACTGACGAACATTTATTTACTTGTGTTAAAGGATCCAAAGGTTTCACCGTCAGCTTTTTTGAGTATAACTATTTTAAAACTTCCCACAAGATCTTTTGTGTATTTTGCAGAGTAACTGATATAGTTTTGTGGAAAAAGATGTCTCCTGAAATGTTCAGCACTGAGAACCACAAACGGTTTCTTTTTGGCTTCCGCCTTGAGATAAAAGCAAAAATGTCCACAACCTTGTCACAAACATATGAGACCAGAATTATCTATGGCTATACAAGTAAAAGTTTATCCCAGCAAATGTAATCCATCAAACATCTTTTAAATGCGAAATGAAAGTCCTGTGATACTTCTGGCACTTGTGGCATTTGTATGGTTTCTCCAGGGAAAGGAGACAGTGAAAGGAAGGCTATTTTTATTGTGCTCATTTTAATTTTTTTTGACAATAAAATAAAGAAAGCCTCTGAGAGATCCTATGGTAGAGCTTTCTCTCTCTCTCTCTCGCTCTCTCTCACTCTCTCTCTCTCACTTCCTCTCTTGCTCCTGAGTCATTCACTAGAAGAATATAACACAAGCTTCCACTGAGGATTTCCTTGCAGCATGCTCCATTGTCATTTCTCTCTGTTAGTAGGACCTCGGTTTATTTCCACTTTCTAGGCATTGTTGTTTCAAAAACACAGTTTCACTTCATCACGGTTCAAAGAATAGCAGCGCTGATTGGGGTCACCGCCGTCTGGTCACCTTGACCATCAGCTCGTTTGTGTCTTACTCGAGGTGAGCTCTGCTACTCTCTGACACATGATAAGACAGGCCATTACTGTTTATAAAACATAATGAAAAAAAAGAAAAACAAACCAAAAACAGTAATTGAATACATCGCTACATTGATATTACTGTTACTAAAAGAATGCTCAAGTGAGGCTTCAGAATCAAGCAATTATAAAATTGCAGTCGGGTGAAGTATATGTTAAGAAATCAGGATTATTTTTGTTTTCAATTCTCAAAGCAACACTAAAGTTAAAAAGATGAAAAAAAAGAATGTTTTAAGGCTATTGTTTGGTTAAAGCCACAATCTGGAACGTGTAACGCAGCAACAGCCACGGCTCATCAGTTTCCTTTTAGATCAGAGTTGGATTGTTCGCTGCAGCAGCAGAGGAACCATGTCATAGCCGCTGCAGTGTCAGGGAAGAAGAAAAACATTTTAAAAAATTTGCCTTTTTTCTTCTATTCCAGCCACACAAATGAATGTGCTTTTTGCGGTGCTACAGACAGCTGTGATGATTTTACCCACACGCGATTATGGCTTTAACCGGGCTTAATGACTTGAGCATTCTGAACTCATTATAGCAGAGAAAAAAAGTTTTGTTTTTTTTTTTTTTTTTACAGTGTTTCCACTCAACAATAAACTTGTCATTGTTTGCCATCTCTGTTGTGTTCTCTGTAGATTTTCAGTGTCATCGTTTCAAGGTTGGAGTCAACTCTGTTTCAAATCATGTCGCAAAACTGGTTAGCGTTAAATTCAAAGTGCATTGATATGAAACTCTGTTGACTCCACCCCTGGTTTACAGTCTCATTAAATGACTTGTTGTAGCACAGTTCTGTGTAAAGTATATTATCACATTTTTTTTCTCCTATTTTCCACCTCCAGTGTTTAAATCCTGCAGATATTTCAGATATACACAAAGTCTCTGTTCACCACATAAGTGATACTAATCACATTTTACCATAACACTTCATATATTTAAAAAAAGAAACAACCAACTGCCAGTACTTAAATAGAACCTCTTTAGCAACTGCTTTGGGCTTCCAGGACAAACTGGTCAACTGTGTGCACCAATTTGGTCACATTTGATTCTATAGGAAGCCGATCGCTTCTTATTGATCGCCCAATTCTTGGTCTCACAATTGGCCATCTCAAAGAGAGTTTTCTCTCAGACAATGGGCACAAAGACTGAATGCAGCTCGTTCATCAGAATCCAGCTGCTGAACAGTATTAACTTCTCGAAGAATACATTCATCTGTGTGTTGGTTGCGAGTGCATGAGTACACTTGAAGTTGCATGTATGCATGTGCTAGAGTCGTTAACTGTGAGGATGATGGTGGGTCAACAGTTGGGTCCTGGCTTTGAGAGGGCGGGTTGGGGAGGGTAAGGTGTCAATTTACTACCACAGTACTTTGGTCTTAAAAATGATTGGAGGCGGGGAAGCAGTGAGCCAATGGTGGTGGATCATTTTGTGCAAATCGTAGTTCTGTTTGGCACACTGACAAGTATTGATGCGAAGGTAAGAGGTCTGTAAATAGTAGTACTTAAAATCGTCTCAAATGTGTTGCGATTTGTCAAGTTAGCACGATGGCACCACAGTGGAACCAGAAGAATTCAAAAAAAGGTCAAACGTTAAAACCCTGGGAGATGGGACGAGGGAGGGGAAGGTGAGGGAGGCGGGGCGATGGGCTTTAGGGTTGGGATCGGGGGGGTGAATTGTCGATAAAAACACAGTGGCGCTACAGTGTATCGGGAAGGAAGCTGAGAGTTTTAGGTCTTTTTTCCTTTTTTTTCTAAGAGTCGTTTTTTGATTTTGAACAGTGCAGATATGCTTTCCCTACGGGAATTGAAGACATTCATTTGAAGATTAGAATTGTTTTTCTCTTTTTTTGAAGTTCGATTTCAAAATCAAAAACGTACCATTTGTAAGTGATCCGGCAGGTGACTAACTCAGGATTCTGATTTCTGAAAAGTCTGAAAGATTTCAAAACCCATGTTGTACAAACAAAACAGTCACCTCTGTTTGCAAATATAGAACTTCTCTCTCTCATCTGTACAACGTTCTCCTCTTTAGGAGGATTAGGGTGGGGTGTGGGCGGGATGGGGTTCACCAAGAGAAAAGGTGGGCTTGTTTCTGGCTTGGCGAGGAGCACATTCCTCTTGGTAGAAAAAGGAGAACTCAAAAGTCTTGTCCATCGACTGTTTGTGTCTCTGTTGGTGTACACTTCTCAGCTGAGAGTTTCAAAACAGTCAAAAAAACACAGTCACACGATAGAGCCATGCCATATTCAAATAATAGAATATTAATGATGAGGATCATAGGAATAATAGAAGACCAGTAATGATAATAAGAATAATGAATAGTAATAACAACATATCATATTAGCAGTTTTTTTCCCCTTTTTTTTAAATCCTGTATATAAAAACAGTGGTGAGGAGAAGTTGATACACAGTAGGGCTCTACTATCCCCTTGGTTGATTTGGCACATTATATTCACTCTCTGATGAGAGCTACCTACTCATTCTCAGCACAGTTAAATATTACTGTAGCCCGGCGACCCATCCAGAATTTGTTGCTTTTGATGTTTTCAATCTCCAAAATCACAGAAGTTTAAAAAAATAAATAAAATAAAATTTAAAAAGTCTACCCATGTGGCAGCATCGCAGGACGCGATGCAAAAACAACCTCTCTGGAAAAGCAAAGTCTTTATTATACACCGCTGCGACGAGATTGAAAGCATCCCTGGACTGTTCGGGATGGCCCGCCCAGCAACATTTAAGGTTTCTATTCTTAATGATGATTCTGCTTTTCTTCATTCAAAACTTAGTACAAATAGCTACATAAGTCTGAGCTATAACTTCCATTACATTACAAAAAGTAACTCAGTCTCTATATGTTATAATTTTTGTCGTTCAGTATAATATATTAGTTTGGTCCTCCTCCGTGCTCTCAGAAGAAAAGGCTTAGTTTGTGTAAAGTATGTCCGTGTGTGTGTCTGTGTGTACACGTATGTGCAATCTGATTCTGTAGCTCCTGTAAGATGTGTGCATTTGTGTGTATTTACAGCTCTTTGTTGAATAAGTCACTGTGTATCAGTATGTCATGGATGCACTTTTGTTAATTTTCCATCTTCGGATGGTTTGGGGGGATCTCCACACGTGGGATCAGGCCTTCTGCTGGGCGGACACGCCCTTCCAGTAGTCCAGTATGTCATGGAGATCTTCATCCTTGGCAAACTGAACTTTTCGCCTCAGCGCATGTCCGGCTGCCACGTAGCCTTCATCCTCCATAGATGCCTGCCTGTGCCTCTTGCGATGCAGTTTGAACCGCTCCCACAGCCCCAGGGTCGGGGTGCAGAGGAGCCCTTCCTCCTCCTCGTCTTCCTCGGGGCTGGAGCAGTAGCTCAGGTTGTGGTACTGTGGCGAGAGGGGGTAGTGTGGCGAAAGCTGGGAGTAGGCTAACTCCCTCTGCTTGGCCTGCCTGCTGAGAGTGAGGGGGTCTAACATCGAGGGCTTGCGGCCCCCTGGGTGGTGGTGGAGTTCCTGCAGGATCTGGGGGTGGTGCTGCAGCTCCTGGAGATGCTGCTGGGAGCCGGGGTAGGAGTGACGGTGCTCGTTGTACTGGCGGATTCTCTGGGCTTCAGCTCGTAAGATGGCTGCAGCCGGGGTGACTGTGCGGATGGGCTCACCTCCCCCGCCCCCCCTTTCCCCTCGATCCCCTGGTGAGGCTCGCTCGATGTAGCGGGACTCTGATGAGTGGTACCCTCCCTCTGAGCGGAAGGAGCGAGGGCTCCGGGCGGAGCCGGGAGAGGAGGACGTGCTGGGCCTTTTAGATGTTGGAGGAGCCTCCATGCTGTGGTGTCGCTGTAATGAATGATGATAACTTCTCCCCCTCTCTTCTCTTCCTCCTCTCCCTCCTTTGTACACCGGGGAGAGGAACTCACCTCCTCGTTCCCTTTCTCCTTGCTCAGACAGAAGCACCAGCTGTGGCTCTGCTGTTGAAACAGCTCCTCCACCTGCAGAAGAGGGGGATTTGATCCCCTGTTGAAAGGAGGTAGATTCAGATTTGAGAGCATCTATACAATTGTTGATGATCTGGTTAACTTTATCTACTTCCTTGGCGATGGTAGAGATCTCTGCTACTGAGCCTTGGGGATTTGCTTGCGGTGACATCTCCCTTTCTCTCTCTCGTTCTCTCTCCCTTTCAATGTCCGACCCTCTCACCTCCATATAGTTGAGTTTAGGGGGCTTGTGGGCCGGTGTCTCTATCACCTCCTGAAGCTTGTATGGATCTATCTCACCACCCTGAGGTAGGTAGGGCATTCTGGACAGACTGTCCCCAGCACCAAGCTTCTGGGAAACGGTTCCTCCACTCCCTCCTTCTATATCCCCTTCTCCACCATACTTTAGCTCTATCAGTGTTCTCTGGATCCTGCTCATCTTCCTTTCCTTTTCCTCCATGATCCTCTTTCTTCTCAGGCAGTGGACAACAAAGCCAAGGAACACAAGCATTCCAAACAGGCATCCCAAAATTGTCATAATGTAATGGGTTGCTGATGACTGAGTGGGTAATCTCTCTGTTCCAACTCGGCGGCCTGTTGAGATGGTCAGACAGGTGTGGTTGAAGCGAAGGGAGTTTCGTATAGAAGCCACACAGTAGGTGTAGTCAGTGTTTGGTTTTAAGTTCTTTAACTCAATATCTTCTCTTTTATCTTTCAAATTCTGAATATCCGTGAAGAAGCTATTGTTATAAAGCATCAGGATGTACATTTTCTTGTACGGATCGGGAATCTGAACCGTTATCACAGCGCTCGAATGTAGCACTTGCTTTTCAGTCATAATGGGTTTGGCATCGGGGAAAATGGGACTCAAGCTGATCACCTCACCCCCATCAGGAGGGGTCCCAGAAGCGCAATCATCCAGTCCGCAGGGAGAGGCGAAATCTGGCGGAGGAGTTGTGGAATCAATACCATAGAAGGATGTTGCGCTACTGCTGTCATCTGTGCACACGTGACTGAGCGCATACAGAGCACTGCGTTGGTTAAGCATGCGAGGATTTTGGTTGAGAAGGTTGTACCCAGAGAATCCATGAGGGGAGTCACACACCATCCTCTCACTGGTCCTGTTGGGGAAGGCTGCAAGCCAGCGAAGGAAACCCAGCAACTCGCAAGAGCAATTGAAGGGGTTAGTGTAAAGTTCACAGGTGGTCAGCTTAGAGAGTCCAGAGAACAAACTGCCATCCAGCACTTGAATCCTGGAAAAAGATCAATAAGAAAGTATAGATTTATTGGCAAGTTACCCCTTTAGATGTGTTCTTTCACATTGAATGCACCTATTCCCTCCATTTAATAGATTTCAGCTCATGGTCAAAAACATCTGCAATACAATTTTCAACAAGTCCAAAAGAGCAGTTAAGCTTATTTCATTTAGCTGTTGCTATACATTTAGGTCAACAGATCAATACCAATTACCAAAACCAATAGTAAGAACAAGACAGTTATTTCCACTGAGAAAAAAAGAAAATAGCGTAGGGATCTGCTGAGGATACCGTCACAGGAAAAAATTAGTATCATTGAATGGTCAGTAGTGCATTTTTCCATCATCAGTGCAAATAGGTGAATTTAGAAAACAAGCATAGCTAAAATGCCTGGCATTTTTATTTTTGTTTGTTCTCCAGTGTACATGTGCTGCAATTATTACAATTTCAGCATCTATATATATCAACAATTATCAGGAATAACATTATGAGCACTAACAAGCGACATTTGAAATGAATAACACTGATTATCTCTTCATCATGGCACCTGTTAGTGGGTGGGGTATATTAGGGAGCAAGTGAAGATTTTGTCCTCACATTTACTGTGCAGGAAAAATGGGCAAGCATAAAGATTTGAGTGAGTTTGACAAGGGCTAAAATGTGAAAACCGCAGATTTTGTGGGGTGTTCCCACTCTGCAGTGGTCAGTATCTTATCAAAAAGTTGTCCAAGGAAGGAAGAGCGGTGAACCAGCAACAAGGTCATGGGGAGCCAAGGCTCACTGTTGCATGTGGGGAGCAAAGGCTGGTCTGTGTGGTCTGATCCATCAGTTACTGAAACCAAAGTTTCTGAAAAAAGTTAACGCTAGTTCTGATAGAAAGCTATCAGAATACAGAGTGCATAATAATGGGGCTGCCCATGCTGACCCCTGTCCACCGCCCAAAGCACCAACAATGGACACGTGTGAGAGATGCACTATGGGAAGAAGGCAAGCTGGCAGAAGCAGTGTGATGCTATGTTGGAAAAACTTGGGTCCTGCTATCCCTGTGGATATTCTGTTTTGACATGTACCACCTACCTAAGCACTGTTGGAGACCATCTACACAGGCATGTTATTCCCTAATGGCTGGAGCCATTTTTAGCATGCACCCTTCCACAAAGCAAATATGATTCAGCAATGATTTGCACATCAACAAGTTTGAGGTGTTAACCTGGCCTCCAAACTCCTCAGATTTCACTATAATCAAGCATCTGTGGGTTGTGCTAGACAAACAAGTCCTATCCATGGTTGCACCACATTGCAACTTAAGGGACCTAAAGTATCTGTTGCTCAATTCCAGATACCACAGCTTCAGGGGTCTAGGGGAGTCTGTGCCTCGTTGGGTTAGGGCTGTTTTGGCAGCAAAAGGGGCACCAAAACAAGAGTCACGATGTTATGCCTGACATATTATTGGTGTACACATTATGGCTGAAAAAGCAGCAATTTCCAACATTTAAGCAGTTTCACCTAGTAACCATGATTTTCAATACCTGTTCATGGAGAGGTCTATATTCTCTATATTCGGACATTCCCAGAAGGTGTTGGGTGTAACAGTCTCAATGAGGTTGGCTTGCAGGTAAAGGTACTGCAGCTTGCCCAGGCCTCGCAACATGCCCTCTGTCAGGTTCCTCAACTTGTTGAAGCCCATCTGGAGAACCTGGGGAGGCAAAAACAAGTGGGATTAGTCTAATCTCTGAAGACCTAGCCTGTGCCAGGCATCACTCACCACAAGCTGGAAACATACAGAACAAACGGATGACGATTCAAACAATTCGTGTTTGACACGGTGATCTAAGCCCGTGTGCTGCGCTGAATTTACTGAGATCTTTCTTGTTCACATTTTACCTCCTGGCTTAGCTCCAGCAGCCGGATAGATGTGTAAGCATGCCAGCTCATTACGGATGTGTTGAGATCGGTTTGGTGAAACACTTTGCTTGAATATTCCTGGAAGCCATAATGAGCGGGTGTTGTCATTCTCATGTCTGTGTCCATCTGTGCGTATATCGATGGAAGAATTTCTATCTCTTTAGACCCCTGTTTTGGTTTACATATTATTCTAAATAGAACAGCTTAAACTTGTAATATATGATAAATACAGTCCGAATAAGTCTATGCTTATTGTAGAAATCTATAAGAATAAGTAAAGAAATGGTATGCATAGTTTGATTCTAAACTATTTGTCTCTGTGCACTCCTCAGGACTGTTTTATTGTGATTACTTTTGCATAAGATTGACAATTTCACCATATAAATGAAACATTAACCTCTATGTCAAAACAACCCAAGTTTGATATCAACGGTCATCACTAGTGTAATGTGAAGGTTCGTCATAGGCTACTAAATCTCTCTGAGCTGTTATAAACATCAAGATGGACACAGATAACTTTTCCAGCACTAACTTCAGTCCTGGCTTACTTTAACACAACAACTTCCTTGGTGAGACTCCCCATGTGACTTCATTAACCAATGAGAAGCCAGGAAATCCTAGCTTTAGGTGAATGCGGCAGATTCAACACATGTTTATAATTCCTTTGAGACGTCCAGACATGTAAACAATAAATATAAAAGGAACTGTGTATATAATTAGCTCTGTAAACAACATAAACACATCTCTTCATTTTAAACAAATATCAATTTTCTTCTACACTTTACACTAGCATTGAACCAAACAGCAGCTTTTAGTGGAAATGTATGCAGAAAGCAACCAACCATTTGCACTCTGCGCATGTTGGAAATGCAGACCTGAGTAAGTTCAAAAGTTACTATTTTGACAGGAAGAGATCTTTTTACTAAGCCTCCCTTCTTCTAAATTTAACTGCGTAAATTATCAAAAAGAATCTATTCAGCTAACAACAGGATGGCCTGCTGTAAACACAAAGATGAGCCATGAAACCTTTTTCTCATAGATTCCATGTTATTGAACCTCTGTTATATTCCAAACCTCTGTCCATATTTTTTTCCTATGTATCTATTTTTCTCTGCTCCCTCTCTTTCCCCTCATCCTCAGCCAGTCAAAGGGCGAAGGAGGTTTTTTTTCTTCCCACTGTTGCCAAACAGTTGTTTACAATACATGGTTTAACTGTAGGGGTTTTCTGTGTATTATTGTAGGAGCTTTACTTTATGATATGAAACATCTCGAGGTGACGGTTCTTGAGATTTGGTATTCATTGAAATTAATTTCTTTACCTTGAGATACTCTATTGCTGTTAGCACCGTCTGACTACTTTTGCAGCATTTTGCTAAATCTGAGCAGACAGTATAGCCCTGGACACTGAATTCATAGTACTTCTATCAGCAGTCACATCATCAATAAAGACTAGTAAACGGTTCCAAGAGCAGCCATAGCTGCACATTCCATAACATTACCTATGGGTAGCAGCTGTTCCTAACAATGCATTGTTGTAGACACTCTGCATTTCCATTCATGAAGGCATCTCTGCATTGTAGACTCCATGAGTGATGCACCAACCTCCCTTAGAGTGTTTTTGAATTGGTTAGATGGTGGGAAGTTGTTTTTCTTTACCAAGGAAAGAATTTGCGATGATCCACTTTGGTTGTCTTCTGTGGTTTTTGAGGCTTTTTGGCATGGTTGAACTGCAATCATTATTTGTTAGAAAGTACCAGATTTGGTCACTCCTAAAGTTTTTGTGGCCTCACTGACAGGCCTGCTTATCTTTAATCTCCCTTAAAATAACAAAGAACCTGGCCTCAAGTGGCCATGAAACTGCTTGTCAGTCAATTGTCCAATCAAAACCTGTCCCATTGTCCAAATACTTATGGACATGACTGTAAAATGGCAGCCACATGGACGAACTGCATGGATGAAAACCACCTTGAGGAGGGGATCAGATTACTAGAAATGAGATAAGGCATTTGCTTTTTACAGGGAAAGTGGCAGAACTGTATTTTTATTGCATACACATACACATAAACATACACATACTACTACTACTACTACTACTACTACTAATAATAATAATAATAAGAAAAATAATATATTCGGTTGGTACATAATAGTATATTAATTTGATACCAAGTGTTAAGTATTAGGGGTGGGTTTTTATAATCGATTTATCGATATTGATAGATTCTGGCTTGGATAATGTAAAATTGATTCATTAAAATCCTGAATCGATTTTTTAATATAAATTTATTTTGCCCGAAATGCCAGAATCTCTGGTGAAATCTCACAAAATTTCAACAACCACCAAACAGCTAAGACAGTAAATGAGAGCAGGTACACAGATTCTGCACAAAGACTTAAACACACAGCACAACCCGTGGATCAGAATCAGTTAGATGTCACCTTTCTCACAGTCGGGGCTGAAAGCCGACAGCTCGCTGATTCTGATGCGCTTTGTGTTTACGACGTTTTTGCGCTGATTCTAAAGCTGTTAGTTTGATGTCTCTCCAAACAATATTGACTGAACCAGCAGCAAAAGAAGATCCAAACTACGCTTCACATAAACATCGTCATGTATTCACTCTGACTTTTACTGTTTTGCTTCGACCACGATGCACAGCTCTCTCTCTCTCTCTCTCTCTGTACTTCAAGAACAGTTTCCCGTCTAAAAATCTGTTTTCTTCATTATTCGCTTGCTTGTTACGCACAAGTCTACAGTTGTTTACAGCGCTGTCGGCGGATGGTTTTTTTCCCGTTTTACATACTTCCGAAAAGAAAACCTAATTTCTGCCGTTCAATACTGAACAAATTTAAACTTTTTAAAATCATGCAAAATGCAAAACGCTTAGCCATGTCTCTAATAAAACCGCTGTAACTTCAGAGGTAATGTTCATGTGTTGATTAATGGTTTTCTTTCATTTTTGATGTACTGCAGAATATTTTTATAAAATCCCAGGCCAGAAAAACCGCCTTCATGTTTTTCTGTGTTTTATCCTCAGCTACTTTGACACAAAGGCATCTGCTGTGATGCTCACACCTTTGATAAAGTCTGGAAAGTGTCAGCTTCCTTTTTATAGATACAAAAATATGTAAATGTACTGATCTGAATTATAATATTTCTGATTGTCAAAATTTTCCCAGATTCAAATCGAATCGAATTAAATCGAATCGTGGATCGAATCGATTCGGGACCTTGTGAATCGGAATTGAATCGATTCTAGAAATCAGTGACGATACCCAGCCCTATTAAGTATATATTGTGTAATTGGAGTATTAGTCCTCTGGTGCACTGTGGGATTAAACAGCAGTTTAATGTTGGATATGCACTCTCATATGCACAAACACTTTGTTTACACTGATGGATTGCATTTAGTTACTGTGTATACTGTAAAATTATGGAGCACTTTTTACATTATCCAAATACATCCAAACAGTTTAAAGAGTGCATTTCATGTACCCAAATAATGCTGTAATTTTCCACCGCTGTATGTATGTGCATTGATGAATGTGCACCTATATGGAAAAACCTATGAATGCATATTGTGTCAGGACGCACCTGCAGATTAAATTGTGCTGAAAACGCTCCATCTTCCACGTAACTGATATCGTTCTTGGTCAGGTTCAGATAGGTGAGGTTGCTGAAGCGACTCAGTGAAGAATAATGGACCGCCCGTATCTTGTTCTCGTTCAGCCTCAGATCCACAATAGTGCTGTGGAGAGATGTGTGAGATCTCTCAGCATCCAGCAACTCGGGAAAATACTGTGGAAATAAGTTTCATTGTAAGTTTTCATACCTGTTAATGTGGGAGGGGATGGCCTCGTAGGGAGGCTGGTTCATACTGCAGATAGCCAGCCACACAAAGCCTTTTTCCCCTTCAATAAGCCAGCAGTCCGCCTTAACCACCGGCAGCCGCATCATTGAAAGCAGTGCAAGGAAACAGAAGAAGGAGCTGGCTGTAGACAAGACCACTGATGAAGACCCTCCAGTCGTGTTATGTCGCTGCCGTCCCTGTTCAGTGTTCTGGGCCATTTGGGATGTCATTGCAGTATCCGCTGGAGAAAGCCGACCAGAGTTGCTCGCCATCTAACATTTATTCTTGTAGACTGGAGCCATTGGGAAGGGAGGGTGGGAGGGTTTTTTAACGGTTATATTTTCATGAACAGGGATTTGCTTTTCTTGAGAATTGTGACTGTTCTATGAGCGGCAAATGTGCCAAACCGAGGAATTGCTAAAAGCTTGAAGAAATAGAGTGCATGAATGGGATGTAACACTTCATTGGTAGTATGTGTGTCTAGGTAAACTGTATAAGTCGATTAATTAGCAGGGTCACATTTGATTTATGTATGATTTGGCAAGTGGAAGTCGTCCTAGTGCCAGATTGGCTGGTATTCATGTCTTCTGTGGCCATCTGCACCTCTGATTGGACAAGCACCTCTTTTCTTTCTTCCTCATTGCGTGCTGCTCTGTACTTGGTGTGAGAACCGGTCCCTGGAGGGAAAAGGAGAGAAAGCGAGAGATGGGAGGAGGGCGTAAGAACGGGATTGCCAGTAAAACACAGTGGTTTGTTTGTGAGCTGCAACAAACACAACCCTGTTACCAGCACGATGAGATAAAGGTGCTTATTTTTTTCCTTATATAACAGTCTGACGTGTGCACATGCATACTCAAATTTAGGCATGCGCACACACACAATTTTTATATACAGTGACATTTCTTGACAAGTCCAATTAGTGTACACACAGATCCACAAGCACCTGCAGATCTGAAAAATACACACAGCTTGCTGCTGCTGCAAAAAACAACTCAAACAGACACACACACACGCACATGTTTTCTGCAGTTCCATTAGCCTCTGGGCCTTGATGGCCAGGGCTAAGAATGGCCATGGCTCTGATACTGTATCTAATTAATTAATCTGCTCTAAATAAAACACTTCCTGGGAAAAACAGCTGACGTATGACGGAATAGGAGAGACAGGGAGGCGGGAAAGTGAAAGAGGCTCTCACAGGGCTGTGCAGAGCAGGAGGAAGAAAAAGTGGGTGCAAGGGAGCTGCAAGGAAAGATGCTTGGGGGAGGGGGAGAGAGATGGTGAGATGGAGAAGAGGTTGAGGTAGAAGGAGGAATAAAGCAGTCGGTGGTGAAAGAGACAGCGGTTCTGTGGGGGAAAAAAGGAGGCTGAGAGGGGGAAAAGGGATGTGGTGGGACTCTGTTCAGTGAAATTGCGAGAATAGTGGCTCCCTCTTCTCTCTTTTGAGCCTTTTTCTCTCAGCTGCGAGAGCAACAAACAGGAAGTGACATCACCGAGGTGAAGGAGAAGGAGTGGGAAGGAGCAAAAGGTTGGGCCGTCCTGACAAGCATCTCCTGGCTGCTGTTGACACATTATTGATTACGGCGAAGCAGAGCGGTGCTGATGTGTCACCTCTGATCTGAGGAGGAGGGTAAATGAGAGCGGGGTACTTGTGGGGAATAGGATACAGTTCCCTTCGACTTTTTGTGTCCTTTTAGAGAGCTGGCTTCTGGAAACATTCACATATAGCTTGTTAGTAATGCATTCACATAATGAGTAATGGCAATGACATTTTTCACTTTTAATGACACATGGGTTTGTGTTGATACCCTCCGTGTTCCCTCTCATAGCTCATCAGTCATCTGGCCTTGGTCAAGTAGGTAGCACTAAACCTGCAGTGGTTTGGAGCCCGTTGGAAATTGTGTTAAATGGAGATTAAAAAAAATAAAACAATAGGGGTAATCTTTCATGCACAACCATCATGTCTAGACAAAGATATTGAACGGCACAAGCAATTGTAAAGCACAACTGTGCTGCAAGTTTTCTTTGTCATTTGATTTATCACAAATGCTATGTGTTTTTCAGTGAGGGGGTTTTGAACTTCTAGACTTGCAGGGATTGATGGCTTTAACTTCTCCAGTATGCAGTTTGTCCCTTTTCCTCTTTGTCCTCTCTCCCCTCTGTACCTTTTCTCATGCATGTCTGACTCCGGAGCTGCATGTTTCTGATGCACGGTGACTGTCCCCACCAACCTGCTGAGTGTTTACTGTTATATTGTTTGTGATTTGTTGCTCCTCTTTTCTCTCTTTGCTTTCCCCTCACCCCAACCGGCTGAGGCAGATGGCCGCCCTCCCCGAGCTCGGTTTACGTCGGCGGTTTCTTCCTGTCAAAACAGAGTCCAACCGCCTGCCGTTACAATGTAAAGTTCCCCGCAATAATCGCTGTTGTGAATTGGCACTTTAGAAATAGAAATGAATTCAGGGGAAAAAAAAACCCCGGAAGCCTTCTTCATAAATGTGACTAATGTACGCTGGCGTGCATGAGTGTTTACCGGTGTGTAGCCATATGCATGGGCTTTCCCACCCAGTCAGCATAATCTATAATTGATGGTGAGACTTCCTCCCACGTTGCATGAGACAAACTACCTAGATGGGACACGAGAGAAAGTGTAGGAACTGCTGCCAGCAACACACACACTGACGGGAGATGTCCATTTTGCTTACCAGATAAACTCGAGTAAACAAACTGTTGAGAAGGAACAACATGGTGGTGTAGCAGGGGTGCAGAACACTGTGTGTGTGTGTGTGTGTGTGTGTGTGTGGGGGGGGGGGGGTTAGCTAAGACGCTGATTTCCACCTGATTTCTTTCTTTTCATACTGAGTCAAGTACAAGGATCCAGGAGACAGAACAAGAGTTCAGGTTACCAGAAAGAGAGATCCAGTAGCAGTTACTAGCTTTCACTTGACCTTCTTTGTAGTAAAAAGTGTAGTAAATACACTTGTAGTAGCTAACGTGATATGCACAGAAGGAGCTGTTAAGAGCCTGTCGGCCTCTTTTCCATTTTGCATCATTCATCGCATTCCCCGACCTCGCCCGCACTCTCCGCATGTACGCACGCTCGACGCTGCCTCAGCTGTCGAGAACAGGCATGTGGAATATTTCAGCACTCAGCATCGTGACCGCCTCACTTTTCAGTCATGTCACACTCAAAAATTTATAGGGTACAAATCGTCATCCCGAGAAAGACCGAGACTCTAACCTTGCTTTGACCACGGTGGTGTCATGGCTGCTGTACTTTAAGGTAATGTTGTGTAGATGTGCATGTTCTCTGAAACTCTGGAAAAACAAGCCACCCGGGGAAAGATTCATATAGCTGTGTGTGCACAAAAGCAGAAAAATGCATATGCTGTCTTCTTGAGAGATTTCGAAAGCCACGTGTATGCGCTGTCCTCTTTTAAAAACACAAATCTCAGTCACTGTGAGATTTTACGCACATGGCCGAGCCAACTCTTTGCTCGCACCTTTAGCCACGAGTGGACACAGATGCTTTCTTATTGCATCAGTTCCATATAAAATCGCTGTTTGCAACTCAGGTTAATGAAGAAGTGCAATTTACTTTGTGGAGAAAGTGGAGAAAGGGAAATGTGGCTTTGATTGTTTTTGGAATTAAAAAGAAAAGAAAAACAGAACGGGGATAAAAAAAACAAAAAAACCCGGCAAAAAAAAAAAAGGTAAAACAAAAAAAAAAAAAAAAAAAAAGAGAAAGCAGACCATTACACATGGTCACAGCTATTTATAGCATCAGTGATGACAGACCATCGTAAAAGCACTGGCTGTTTTCCTTCATGCTAGTTATCTCTAACCTTAATTTTCATCTCTAGGCTATCGGACTTGGCCTTCTCTAGAAGCATTTTTACAGTTAATTTTTACATTATAAAAAACACTTTGCATTTGGGGAAGGTCATATTATATTCATGTTTCTTTGTACATACACAGTTTATGCACACAGCCTCTGTAAACACCCCTAAAACTGGTCTTTCTTACACCTTCCTCACATGATTATCAGATTATTGAGTCTCGCTGATTTTCACCATGATTTTTATATTGTGTCTTTGTAATATGGAGACATAATTCTGACTGAATCTCCCCTTTAGACCCTCTCGAGCACTGGAGCACTCTCCTTTGAGAGTCACTCTTTTTTTATTTACTCTTGTTTCCATTTCAGATTCTGTTACTCTCCCTTTTCATCATGTTTTTTTTTTCTCTTTTTGGTCAGGCATAGCCACAGTCTCCTTCCTTTTTTGAGCGTTCGTTTTCCTGGGAGATTTTTAGTATCCAGACAGAATTGCATAATAAAAGCGAGGATTGTAGTTAGCCAATCTAAATGCAGACCGCATTGTTCTTTTTATTTTACCTGTTACTCTGTGCAGTAAAAAATAAGTGCGTCATCTTTAACAAGGCAATAAACCTACAGTCCAGTTTCCTTTGATTTAATGAATCTAAATAACCTCAAATCACAAACATCCATCATCATACGCTCATTTGCAAGAAAGGAGCTTGTGTAAAACAGCAGCAAGTGGCCCGTAAAACAATAATAAACTATTTTCAAAACACATATTAAAACATTTTAAACTATCAACAAAATGTTTACTAGCGCCTTTATTGTATTTCTGATTTTCGCTCTTCTTCTCGCTCCCTGCGTCAGCGCTACCCCAAACAAGTGAGAAAGATCCACAGCATGACTAAGAGAGTCAAGCAGAGAAAGTAGATTGCAGATGATGTATCCTGTTTACAAAGCTAAAGGCTGTTCTTTCTATCTCTGCTGAGAACGCTACAGAGTTGCAGTCCTGTTGGTTTGATATTTTACACATTTCAGAGACACCTGGTTTTAGGTTACGCCCTGAGGCTAAAGAGAAAGAAACAAGTTTTCTGGTGCAGATCCCTGAAGGGTTTATTTTATATGCTCTCATTTAAATGGATCAAGGAATATGCAGTCGGTGTTTGTCAGTTGCATATAGAGAGGTTCACGTCAAAGGAAAATCCTGAACCCTTGACTCCTGAAAAGTATCCATTAAGTCTCTTGTGCTGTAATGGGCATTTTGTCCCCCTATAGGGAAGGGTTGCATCTCATCAATGCAGTATTGTCCTGAGTGATTACCTTTAACCCCAATGGGCGTGGTCTCTCAATCCAAAGGCCACAAGGAGTCACCAAGTGAAAATAACTGTGCTCATTTACTGTGAATCTTCAAGTCACCAGATGGAAAAGTCTGCGCTGACAGGTTGTACAGCTCTCTGCTTCACGGTCATGAAAGTACCAAGTGAGGGAATATATATTTTATTTTATTCCAGGTTTCTAGTAGCACTCAGTTTTCTTTTCCTTTGGGTGATAACTCACCTGTTTATTCCTGCAATTACCTAGTCACACAATAAACCAGCAGTACTAAGCATAAAATCCAGCACACAAGTCCGGGGCTTCAGCTAATGTCCACATCAAACATCAGAATCAAGAAAAAAAGCGGTCTCCATCGCTGCAGCCGTGATGTGAGTGTTGATGCCAGATGGGTGAGTTTGAGTATTTCTCCGACTGCTGGTCTCCTGAGATTTTCACAACATGAAAGTATGGCTGACGAATCTGCAGAAACCACGCGATCCAATCATGTCAGCATGGACCAGCATTTCAAATGGATGTTTCCAACATCTT